CCTGACTGTTTCCAGGGTGTTCTTTCTGCGATCTTAATGGCCAAGCGAAGATCAAAGGATGAATCAAATGAGAGTCAGCTGAAGAACAAAGGAAATGAACTCTTGATCAAAATACGTCCCATTCTGCTTCCTCAGGGGGTAACTTGTGACCAGCAAAAGCACCTATGATGCTGTGATGTCGTGATTTACACTAAGAAATACATACTTCGTCAAATTTCTAGCACAGAACTACTGAAACCCTAGGACTTCCTAAGTGGTCAGAGAGATTAAGGTGCCTTTTGTTAATGAGGTGATTCTGAAATGCCCTAGGTCATGTGAGGATGGGAGGTGGTTGCCAGGGGAACCAGCCCTGTGATCGGGAGCTGGAACTTTCAGGCTCCCCCCTTGACCTCCAGGGAGCAGAGAGGGGCTAGAAATCGAACTGCCAATGGCCAATGATTTAATCAACTGTGCCTACATAATGAAGTCTTCATAAACCCACAAAAGGACAGGGCTTGGAAAGCTGCCAGGTTGGTGAACACGTGGGGACTGGGGAGAGTGACACACTCAGGCAGCATGGAAGCTCCGTGCCCCTTCCCACATACCTTGCCCCGTGTATCCCTTCCAACCGGCTGCTCCTGAGCTATACCCTTTTACAAAAAATGGTGATCTAGTAAGGAAAATGCTTCTCTTGAGTTCTGTGAGCTGCTCTAGCAACTTAATTGAACCCAAGGAGGTGGTTGTCGGAACCTCTGATTTGCAGTCATCTGGTCAGAAGCACAAGTAACAACCTGGACTTGAGACAGGCCTCTGACAGTGGGGGGTGAGGGTTCCATCTTGTAGGACAGAGCCCTTCACCTGTGAGAGCTGATGCCTTCTCCCAGGCAGACAGTGTCAGAACTGAGCTGAACTGTAGACGTCCAGCTAAGGTTCAAGGAATTACTTGGTGTGGGGAACCTCCCGCCCTCGCATACACACACACTGGAACTGGGTCCCAGAACCATTTAAGTACCTCAGAAGCTAAGCCAGAAGGGAAAGCCCAGGAACTCTGAAGCAGGCTCCGTCCTCAGTACTTCCCATGCATCACCTCGTCTGCTGTTCACACTCTCTGAAGTAAGTACTGGTGCTGTTCCCATCTGACATCAGATGGACATTTTGCTTAGGAAACCATTCATTTTTATTCTCAGTTATGCAATAGTGCTCACCTTGTCTATTGCTCTGATAATTTAACCTCAAGTTCTTTGTCTTTTACATTCAGATACAGTCAGTTGGCCACAACAACAAAAACAACCAGGTCTAATAAGAGACGAGTATTTTCTGCAGGATGGAAAAATGGTCTGTGGTCTCACACTGACCAGAAGCTTAGACTGGCAGTTCCGTGTGGATGTCTAGACTAATACAAAATGGGAAAGGGAATGGCTAGTTTTATAAATGCCACAGGTAGACAGTCTTTCCAAACTTGAGCTCCTTGTGGGACAGGAAAGGTGGGGAAGATCGAAGATAATGCGTCCCCTGTGTCAGTGTCCTGGCAACCAAAGATTAGGTTTTTTGGTATGAAAATGAGATGTTTTAAGACCCTGAGTGTAAATTCCAGTTCTGCTCTGTACAGGCTGCTCGACCTTGGGTAAGTTACTCACTACCTCTGTGCCTCAGGTTCCCTATTATAAAATGAGGTTAATACCAGCATCTGCCTGATAAGGTGGTTGTACGGTTTAAATGAGTTAACACGGGTAATAAAGTGCTTAGACTGGTGCCTGGCGCACAGTGAACTCCACATGGGCACCTGCTATTTTACCATCATCATCGGGAACCTGTGAAGGCCAGGCAGGGTCACCATTACACTTCTGAACTGATTCGGACCTTAGCTCTCACCTGTCTTCTCTGTAGTCAGCCTAGAAGAGCTTATGAGCATTCACAGCAAGCCGGCGAGCCTGAGGGCAAAGGGATTGATTTCTAGATTTTTTAAGGGAAGAAGCAGTCTCAACCCATTGGCCTCCAAACTTGTTTTGGTTGGCTTATATTAAAATTAGAATTTATTAGGTGTCTTCAGAACACACTCATGCTGGGCATCCCAGCCTTTTCAGAGACAGTGGCTGCTCCTTGAATAGGATGTTTTCACTTACCCAGTAGACGGAAGGTCTTCTGTGTCTCTATCATGTCAGCTCTGTCGTTCACACCCTCAATGACAGTGCTGCCTCCCATTCTCGTGTAATGAAATTCTTCTGCACTCCCTGAAATCAAACGTAACGTGATTTCTGTGACACAGAAGTTTGGACATACATGTTTATCAGAAGCAAGAAGAGAAGTTCACACTTAATGCACCATAGTAAGCACCTTACAAATGTTTTCCCATTCATCCCTTAGAATTCTATGTCGCTGACTCATGAGCTGAGGCTTAGAGAAGTGAAGTGACTTGCTTGTTGTCCCACAGCCGCTGGCAGGGCAAGAATTTAAACGCAGGTCCGACTTCAAAGGTCTTGGTTTTTGTTCCCACACCTAACAATTTCATACAGCTTTACTGAGGTTTGCTGAATGTACAATGAACTGCAGAAAACCTGATGAGCCTTGATATACAATTCCCCTTATAAAATCATCACCATGGTCAAGATAATAACTATATGCACATCTAATATTTGAATAGTAGATGGCCCTTCAGAAAGCTCTTCCGTGTTTGCTATTCACAGTCTGTTTAACAGACAAGGCATGGATTTTATCATTATAAGAAAACTGAAGAAACTAAGATTCCACAAGCGCAAGCAACTTCTCCAGGATTAGGGAGTGTGCATTCAACACCAACACACTTGACAATTTTATCTGCCGACACGGCACAAATGACCAAGATGGGAGAGTTGAGACACCACAGGAGCTGGTTCATTTACACTCAAAGATAAACAGCTCATTAATTAAGACTGCAAATTATAGTGATTTTGAGTCATCAAGGAAGTTCAAATTATGGTAGAGGTCCTCTGACTCAGAAGATAGGAAATATGTCATACATGTTAGAAAAATGGCCATCCGATGAAGTTAAGACAAAAAGAAAAGTCTGGGGACTTAGATCTCTAGGTCCCAGTGGTCGGGAGGCCTCTTTCTACAGGTGGTTCTGGATGGGTACCACAGTCACCCAGGAGCTCTGAAAAGAACCCTGGGACTGAAGGGTCCCCTCTCTCTGGACCCACTTTGCCCCTAACTAACCTTAGTTAAATGCATCAGGTCCACCCCTGGAACCCAAAGACCTTATGTCTTTGGACAGAATACTTTTTTTAACGTGATGTTGGGATAAGAAGAAATTAACCTAGAATTTAACATAAAAAAGAGATTCATCCATTACGTACCCAATTTAAGATGTTTAAATTCTGACTGCTGTGCAGATGCACAAAGCTGATAGAAAATGTGGTAATTTCGTTCATTTTCTGACTGTAAAAAAAAAAAAAAAAAAAAAAGTCCTGAAATTACACCAAACTCTTTACAAGTGAAAATGTGAGGATTTCCACAAGAGGGTCTTAGATGCTAATCTGGGTTGACATGGACATGGATGTCTATGTGTGTTTTTGCTGGGACCCAAACTCTTGCCTCTGCTGGCTCACAGGGGCCCTTCCTCCCAGAGGAAGAACTGGCAGCCCAAGATCGCCTTGCAAATAATTACCCCAGAGAAACTGTTATTAAATGAAAACATTCTGTGAAATGGCAATAATACAATTCATACGAGTTGAAATTTTAAAGAAACTCCCTGCAGTGCACGGCTTGCCGTTATTCTCCGGGGCCAAAACTATGAGAATTTTCTTCATTTTATGGACATAAGAGCCTTTCTCTTAAATGCCACTTCAACAGCTCTGATCCCATCCCCTTCCTGATAAGAAAGCCAGTCTAACAGTGTTGCCTATTTCAAGTAGTTTTTGTGTTCTAGCAAGGTAAATGTGATACTAAATGCTAAAGATTTTTTAAGTCTCCCAAACTGAAAGTCGTCCTTTCGCCTCAACCACACAACTCCACAGGTAAGGCACCTGTCCATCAATTTTTGTTTTTAAGAGACAGAAAAAATAACCCAAACTACAAATGAGAGACAGGAAAACTCTATTCCTCAAGTCACAGAACAATGTAGTTTGGCTAATGAGTATGTAAACACAGAACATATTTTAAAAGTCAGGGGAAAGGAAATTTGACTAATGTTTTGGTCCTTACTTGAAAAACAACTCTGGATTTCTCTAGCAGGTAAGTTCTCATGTTGGCTCCTATAATCTGATTCCTCTCGTCAAAACTGATTTCTGTGTATTTCCCAAACCGACTGCTGTTGTCATTGCGGGTGGTCTTGGCATTTCCAACAGCCTACAAAACACAGTAACAGCATTAAAAAGACCTTTGCATCAATATTCTTGGAGCCGTTACAGTACAATCCAGTCCTGTAAGCTGGGGGAAGGTCCGATGAGCAGAGAGAGGTCGAGGGGTAGGCAGAGCAGCTCGAGACTTGCAGGCAACAGGACACAGCCTGCCATTCAAGACTCTCCTCGATCTTGCTGGGAGACACTGAGCAGGATCAGAAAAAGCACAGGTTCTGATGTTCCATGGCCCTAGGTTCCTTTTTTGCTATCTGTCTGATGCTAGAAAAGTGATTTCATCTTTCCCAGTCTTTATTTCTCTATCTGTAATATGGGAAAGTATGCATCTTAGAGTTGGGAGGATTAATGAGATAACATAAAGTGCCTCAACTCATCTATTCCTGAAATACTACAGATGCTCAGTTAGAAGTCCACGTGCTTCACCTGACTTTTATTTCTGTCTTATCTCTTACCACTTCTCTACTTAACCTTTCTACTTGACCAAAAAATTGCCCTCTCCCATCCCTCCCATACTGAGCGGGATTTTTGCTTTTTCCCCTCTGCTCTTGAATTCCGTCTCTCCTCTTACCCACCCCCTCCCCATTCCTGGGCACCCTCCGTCTAGAAGGACCCTTCTTATGCACACACACCGCACTCCTGCCCAGGCCATCGTGCTTTCTGACAATGTACCCTTTCTGAGCACCTGCTGTGGGTCATGTGCTCAGAAGGTGACGGTGAACCAAGTGGGTCCAGTTCTGCCTTCACGGGGCTTACAACAGTGGGCGAGACCAACCCTGAGCAGGTAAGCCTGCAAAATACTCCACTGGGCATGTAACGGGCAGTGCTTCTTCACAACCCTTTTACTGCTATCTTGAATTGTGATTTATGTTTCTATTTAACTTTAAAACATGCTATGTCAGAGGAATCTTAAAAATTAGGGATTGGGTCTTATTCTTTTCCATCGCTTCCTGTAGTATCTGGCATAGTGGCTGAAACCAAATAGGTGGTCTGATAAATATTCACTGAGGATTTCGATTCAGTAAAACAGGGAGAAAAGGTCTAGGAACCTAACATTCTTAATTATTGGCTATGCATCCAAGTAAATCCAAATCAACCTCTTCCCATTTTGCAAGGCAGCCAGAGCTGGCCTTTGGGCCCTCCCCTGAGCCTGTGAGATGCTCCTTCTGCCTGGAGAGTTGTCCCCTTACCTCTGGGTACCATCACGGTTGGCCTTGCCTACATGTCAAAGCCAGCCAGGGGAGGAAGAGCCTTGATATGCGGCATTTGCCAATTTGTAAGGTGTAAATATTCCCACCATGACTGATTTCAAACTACCAAAGGTTTAACAATAACTTGCAAAAAAAAAATCCTGAATATTTAACAATCAGGTCTCGTAAGTTGGTGCCAATTGGCGAGCGACCACCACTACTCTTATTTCACCAGTGGTGTCTGTAGTTGAGGAAATTTCCTGAGATGTACACATAAACAGAAGACTTCTGAAATCTGCTGGTAGAATTTTTAGCCCAGTGAGTAGAGAAGGGAAGCCTTGGAATCAGCTACCTCTGCCCCAGTTTCCTCCAAATCCCACTGAGGGACAGACATCCTGGCTCTTTCCTGCCCTCACTTCTTTGGTCTTTCAAGGGTGGGAACTCAAGTGAGCAAGGACAACATATAGGCATACCTCCGAGATACCATGGGTTTGTTTCCAGACCACCACAATAAAGCAAATGTCCCAATAAAGCAAGTCACATGAATGTTTTGGCTTCCCAGTGCATAGAAAAGTTATGTTTACTCTGTACTGTAGTCTATTAAGTGTGAAAGCATCATGTCTAAAAAACCAATGTACATAGCTTAATTAAAAAATACTTTATTGCTAAACAATGCTAACCATCATCTGACCCTTCAGTGAGTCATAATCTTTTTGCTGGTGGAGGGTTTGAAATTTGTGAGAATTACCAAAATGTGACACAGAGACACAAAGTGAGCAGATGCTGTTGGAAGACTGGTGCCAACAGACCTGCTTAATGCATGATTGCCACAAACCTTCAATTTGTTTAAAAAAAAAAAGTAGTATCGGTGAAACACAATGAAGTGCAGGCGCACCCGTATACACAAACCACCCCGCCTCTCCACACACACGCCACGGCCTCCGGCCCTGCTCCCCGCCCCACGGGGTGCTCACCTCAGTTATGGGGTTGGACGCCAGAACCTTGTCTTCCACGTGAGCGTTACTGCTGGACTTGCTGACGGTGGCAAAGTACCTCATGGCATACCGAGCTGACACTGTCTTTCCAGCACCCGACTCCCCGCTTACAATTATTGACTGATTTTTGTTGTTTCTAAAGCAAATAAATAAAAGGATTTTTTTTAATGTTCATTTCTTCCTATTAAAAAGGCAATATATACCCATTAAGAAAAACGCAGGGATTTCAAAA